AGACTTTATCATGAATCTTTATATATTCACAAATATCTCGATGAATTTTTTAAATTTAAAAATTTTAAAAAATTTCTCGTCTTCGAGTTTAAAAGGAAAATGTAAAGAATTAAGTTTTTTTACATTAAATGTTCGTTTCATAATGGAATTTCGGTTTCCATGCAAAGTGCTTTCCGATGTAATTCCGTTATCTCCTAATAGTTCGTTTGTGTGGTAAATATTGAGTAATAACGTCAAGTAAAACAATTTTTAAAGTAAACTTTAAAATAATTACAAATTTATTCGATGTAATTCATTTCAACGAAATCACTTTTCGCTTAATTCACGCTTCGTGTCTCCAAACCGAAGAAAAATAATATTTGATTTAAATTTTAAATCTTGCAAAATTTTAAAATAAAATTCGAAAAAAGTTCCCGAAAAATGATCAGGATTTAAAACACTAACACTATGGACTTTCTTATCTACGTATTATTCACTCACTATATTTATCATAAGAGGAATACACAATTGAATACTAGACGAATTCGCGGAAGGAGCTTGAACTTTTGCCAGCTTTTGTCGAGCTTTTCGATAAATATTCCTCGTTTGCCAGTACGCGACTTGTCTACTTCAAAGTTCGAGTAAATTAATATCGAAGAAGATTACACGTGATGACAACATTTGATTTGTAATTTCGTTGCTTTATCATAACATAATTTAAACACGAGTAGACGTGTGCAAATTGATTCATCGTGACACAATTTTGGCACAAGCAATTTAACGAAAGTACTAAAATTGTGACGTGTTTATAGCATTTTCGCGACACTTTATGACAATCAGATAGAACAAAATTCATTTTATCAAATATTCAACGTCATTTAATATTTACCGTACAATACAATCTTATTTCATGATAATTTACATTACTTATAAATAAATAAAACTTCAATTTCCCTTAAAAATATCATGAATTTTTGTCTGACAAGATATCTTTTCGCGTACTACTCAAAATCTTATTAACTCATGACCATCTATCATTCACAATAATTAACCTTTACCTCTTTTAACTTCCATGGTTCCATGGTTTATTTAAAAAAAGTCAAATAAAATGAAAACTTCTCCGCCTCATAAATGTGTCGTACGAATATTTCACAAAAAAACAACTCGAAACCTGAACTTCCAAATTTCCATGAGCCATCAAAATACGCAAATATGTTACAACAATCGTGCGTCGACAATCTTTCGTATTTCACGCTAATTTTAACCTAAAGAAAACCGAAAGTTCGCTCATACTACTTACTACTGAACTAAATAACTAAATACTAAATAATATCCAAATTTGTTGGATTACAGCCTCGAGATCGATCGAAATTGAATTGAAATAAAAACTCTGGAGAACTCTGGGATGGGAAATTTATCGCGGCCCACTAATTCGCGCTCGAAATCTTTCATCACCGCATAAATCTCGCGGTGGGTGGACGGTCGCGTTATTTAGCCAGAAGTCGTTCGACGGCCGAGAAATTGGAGAGCGGATAAATTGGTTGAAAAATAACGGCGCGGCTCGTCGTTAATCATCCCCCGTGGCGGGCGGGTTATCGTCGCCGATTGTTACTCGCGCATTAAGAAGATTGAAGAAAGAAGGAAGAAATTACCTGGGGACTGGGCCGTGGCCAAGGACGTTAACGAGTTATTAGTCCTCCCGTACTCGTCTCGTTCTCGTTACACCTGGCTGCTAAAAGCCGACACACAGGTTGTGCAGCAGACTTTAGCTTTTTCGGCCTCGAACACGACACCGTTGATACATAATGTGTCCAGAAGATGGGTAGATGTGTATGTATTTCGTTTGCTCCACTTTTAGGAGATAAGTGATTACGAGTTTCGGGGGAATTTTTGGGGAAAGGAGGGCCTCGAGAGCTAGAAAGTGTGATGAGATTGAAGTGGTTTGACTTTGGACGCGTGTGTGGCTTCGTCGAGGATAGAAAGGTTGATAATTGGCCGAGGAGGAAAGTTAAACGGGAAGTTTGGTAAGATTATTTTTTTTTTTCCTCCTTGTGGGTTGTTTGGTCCGTCTGAAGATCCTTATCGGAGATGTGAAAAGTTGCTCCTTTCGTAAAGTTGTTTCGTGAATTTATGGTCTGCATCTCGTGATGTACTACTTAAATGTTACTTATAAGGTTTGCTTAAAAAAATTATCGGATTATTTATTTCCTCTTCTTCTTTCTTTTTTCTTTTTTAATTGTCGAAGAACGAATACTTCGTTGAAAAGTCTCGTCAAATTATCGTAATTTCGAAATATTTAAATTCGAGATAAATAACTTCTTCTATCTGGCCATCCATAGATACATCCACTCGCAATATTTTCAATATTTAATAACATTAATTTATAATTATTTCTAGTTTACGCATATATGATCTTATTATTAATTGTTTATTTAACTATACTTTCATAATCAATTCGATAAAAAAATTCCGGATATTTGACAAGAATAAAATAAAATGAAGAATATGACGGAGAGAATAAAATATGCTCTAACAATTAACCTTAGAAAGAATAATAGTTAATAGAATACGATATATATATATTGAAAATTGAACGATCCTAATTCTTTTTTCCTAACAAATACCTACAAAAAGTAGATGAAAATTTTTAATTCTCAAGACTTCGAAGAAGAAGAAGAAGAAATATTCCATCAAAGAATCTCATCCGGTAGCGAAAAATCGGTAAGCGAGGGATCGTGGTGTGCAGAGCGAGCACGTGGGCAGAGCGAGTCGAATCGCAACACGAGTAACTTATTAAGGGACAGCCCGATGCGTCCGGGACGTGTTAATACTTATCATAATGACCCCTTTGTCGCGGCGCCTGCCAACAATGCGTTCGTTATTGCACTCTCGCGCTTTCTTCCAGTCGTGTGCACCACAGTGGTAGCCGGCGTTGTTCTTACCGCGTCATTAGCGAGTCATTGTTTCATCCCCGTGTTTATTTGCCCGGCACTGCTCCACCGAGCCTCTGTCTATTTCCGACCGATCTACGACGATTCGCGAGCGAACGACCGGTTCGCTCGTAAACGAATACCCGTTTCTCGTTTGGGTGATTGTAATTTTCCTCCCTTTGATGGGAGGAATAAAATTACGGAATGAAGAGAATCGAGCGTCGATCGTTAATTTTTTTATTTTAAAAATTTTTATTATACGACGAGGTATGATCCAGCTTTCTCGCGCGAAGAGATTTCAAAATTTGGTGTATTGCGTGATGAAATGTGTTAAATCTATTGTACGATATTAAGAAAATAATGGAAAGGGGGGGACTACCTGAGGATTTTACGCGTTACACTTCTTTGCGTTTCATCTCGATGAATTGCAAATGGAACTGGTGGTTCATCCAAGGTCGTGGAACAATGAGATCTTGAAATTTATACTCTAATATTATTATGGAGGTACGTACGTACGGGGAAAAAAAAAAAAAAAAAAAAAAAAATCGAAACAGGGAGACCTTTGTTTCCGAGGCCGCGGATATTAGTAAAAATCTCACGTACAACGGGGGACCGCCATCGAAAACATTCACATACGACGACGGCTTTGGTGGTCCCTTCTTGGACCACCCTCTCGCTCAAACTCGACGATTCCTCGGGTTTAAAAGGATATTGTAAGACTACACACCGACTCCCGACCGATTCCCTTATTTTTCCAAACCTGCCACGTTTTTTTCCCTCCCCCTCCCTCTCTCCCTTCGTGAGATCCACGTGATGCCGTCACCACATGGTGATTTTTCTTCGAAAACAAATTTGTCTACGTGATCGATTGGACAGGCGACGACAATCCAGTTGTATAATTCAGCAATATTTCATTAGCGATCCGAGGTATTCATTTCTGTCTCGGCTATACACTGTCCGTGTCCACGGTGATCCAGTTTTTGTATATCTGTATATGATAAATATTTTAATCGAGGCTTGAGAAAATATCGAAGTTAAATGTCGAGTTTATTTATGAATTATGAAATTTTTAAATTTTTATCCCCTTCTTATAACTCTCTCCAATATTCTAGATTTTTAAAAATTCCCCCTCCTCTCCCTCGAGAAAATCGATTCACTACTAATCCTTATTTCACGTACACAAATTAAATTTTTCAACAAATTATAAAAGTACAACAAGAATCGAAATAAGAGTGATGAAAAGAAAAAAATGTCCAAATGACTCGAAGATTTTGAAGAGGATTAAGTTAACCAACCAAAAAAAAAAAAAAAAAAAAAAAAAACTAATCCCTAATGAGACGCAGTTTACCTCGAATCCCAAAAGTCGACAATATCTCTTTGAAACAGCTTTCGAGTGGACAAACGTGACGCATTTTTCGCTATACGTGACCCTCGGTAGACGAAAAATGGCGGCCTCCCTCCCTCCCCCCGTTGAAAAGAACCACATGGCCGTGGCGCACGAGAGCAAGTGAGACGGGGGCGCTCGAATTTCGTGAAACATCTTTAAACGATAATCTTCCCTGATCTGGACAACGGTTGACAGCTCTCTATGCGTCGTTCCTCGAGAGGAGATCCTCGAGAGCAAAGAGGATTTTCTAAAGGATCGTATTGATCATCGTCGTGGTGAATTGAAAGTAAATTGGAATCGTCGGAAATAACGAGCGTTCACCCCTGCGGAGGTCGTCTTTCATTTTAATTACACGGTTTCGATTCGAGAGGATTGCTTTAAACGTCGAAGATTTAGATTTTATCGACAGGTTTCTATTATGTAGTTACGGACAGTTTGTTATTCGAGTCAATATGTGCTTGTAAATTTTTTCTACAACGATGATCGAAGATTGAGATCGTTGTTCTACTTATTAGAATTATTCTTGGTACTGTTTAAAGAGAGGCGAAGAAGCTCCATTTATATATATATATTCTTCCTTTTGTTCAGAATATAATACGATGTTACGAAGGAAAATAGATGACACGATATTTTCCTATTATATCGTAAGAAAATATTTACAATCCAATTAATAAATATTAATTAATAAATATTATTCGACTTACCCTCATACATCTGCGCATATTGTGGAAAACCAGCCGCCCTCAACCATTTGCAAGCCTCTTGCGCTTCGATTTCTGCAACAGAAAAAAAAAATTCTCTGTTAGTTAAAAGAAATTTCTAACAAACCTATATTAAAATCAAATTCAAAAATTTTTAAAACACGAAGAACAAAAAAATAATAATAATCCATCTAATATCAAATTCACGAATAGAGTAATAATAAATACACTTATCAAATACACCTAATCTCTTTATAAATCACATCCTACAAAAAGCATCCTAGAAAATCATCCTAATTTCTGTGAAACACCCAAACACCAATTTTTTTTTTTTTTTTTTTTTTTTTCTCTCTTCCATCCAATTCATGAATTGAAAGGGGCCAAAACTGGAGTCATTATCTGGCGGTATCCAGAGCCCCCAGGTGCGATAAACTCGTTTGGAGCGAGGCGTGCGAAAGAAAAAGGGGATCCTTATTTACATGAACAAACATTCTGATCATTAACGGCTTGGGATTCCGCACTCGGTTTGGTTGCCGCGACTCTGCCCGTTTGGTGAATGAAGGCCTCGTCAGAAAAAGCGTCGACCACGACGAAAACGGGTGCTCCCTTCATTAATGCGAGACGAGATACCTTGGCTGACAAGGAGATGCGAAAAACTCGCGCTTAAAGGAATGCAGCGCTTAGCTGCAACGTTGGGGGACAAGGGGGGAGGGGGAGGAGGAATGGACGTGGTTTTCCTTTACAGAGGGATGGAGAGTCGCTAAAAGGAGGCAGGAATTTATTTGCGACTAGGTCGAATGATCGATCGGCGTCGTGCTGGAACTTCGAGTATTTGTGTCGTTTGTTCTTTTCTTTTCTTTTTTCTTTTTTCTTTTTTTTTTTTTCCTTGGCAGTAGAGAGAATTCGTGGATGGATCTACCTTTTTTCGTTCGCGAAGAATTATTATTATTCGCGGTGTGATTATTAAAAATATTTTTGTCGTATGTATAAGGATTCAATGTTTTGGAATTCGATTCGATTTGATTTTTATCGAAGTGGAGATTAATTCTTTTACTGTGAAGTTTATGGGAAAATTATTCAAATATTTGTTATATTATAAATATATTAAGGAGATTCGATATTGATTGTTCTGAGATGGATTCGAAGTATACAGTTTGGAAGGGAGATTAATTTTTCTGGCTGTGAAGTTTAGGAAAGATTGCGATATGATTATTAAAATATTTATAACGTATGAAGAAGATCAATTGTTCTTTTATGAGGTGGATGAAGAATGGATCAAAAAAGATGAATTGAATTAATTATTTGTTATAAAGGTGCAGCTCGTTGGGAAGAAGATCAATCTTTTTACTGTCAAGTTAATGAATGATTGCGATAATGTTTGTTAAAATATTTATTAAATATTAAAAAGATTAATCTTTTTGCTGTGAAGTGGGTGGAAAAATTATCATTTAAAAGCAAATTTGAAAAAAAAAGAGAGAAAGAAAAGAAAGGAAAAAAGAAGAAGAGAATGAAATTCAAAAGTTTTCGAGATCTTTCTTCGTATTGACTAAGAAACTCGAGCAACAATTTTTCCCGCGAATTTTATCGAAGAATGAAAATATGTCGTGTTTATCTCGTGTAAACAGTAACTCGTGAATGAAAAGAATGAATGATGAAAGAACAAGAGATGTTGACAATGGAATGTTTTTACGATAAGAAATAAAGTGCTACTGAACTATGCTCATTCATAACCTATTTGGCATCTCGTCGTTTAACGTCGAAGATTAGATACGCGGCTCGTTTCAGATAACTTTTCCGATTGAAAGAATCGAAAGAGTGAAACAGTGTCGTTTCTTATCGTTTTCCAAGTTCGAGCGAGAAAAATAAATCAATGCTTTTTGTGTGATTCGTTCGTTCCACGATTCAAAAATTTTTCCTAAAACTTTTCTTTCTAACTTTATCCTTCAAGTTAAATTTCCAGATGTAATCATTTCTCCTCGTTCTTTCTCCTCAAATATTTCAAAATTTCTTATAAAATTCTTTTAGACTTAATACTCATTATCTACGTTTCCACTTACTAAGAATATTTTCTTAACTTATTTGTAAAAAATCAAATAAATTCCCAACATAATCAAATAAAGATTCCAAGCTTTCAATAATCTTTCTTGACTCGATCAAATTGCTTGTCAAATTAAAAATATCAAGATGAAAAATATCGTACGACATAGAAAAATGGAATAAAAATGTTTACACCAATTTCTACACGAATCGGAATCAGATATCCAAGATAGATTCACTTCCTGTTATGATTAATTGGCCGGACGTGGCAATCGCGAAATTCCCATGAAACATCGATGAATCGGAAACGAGAACAAATTTGCTGCAATGATGTAATAAATATAAGATAGAATTATAAAAAAAGAAAGTATGATAATACCTTTTTTAATATTTTATTTTATTTTATTTTATTTTATTTCAGAATTCGAATTTCAAATTCTTTTGCTCATCAAATCATCCTTAAATTGTAAGAATTTCAGATAAGCAAAATGTGGATATAAGTAAAGTCAATTTGGAGATTATTTATCTTTTATAGTAAAAACTAGAATTGTTCCAATTTTTCTTTATTCTACAAAAAGAAGGATACACTGTTCCTCTCTTTGTCGACGTAACCGAGACCAATTCTAGAGACTGGCCATTTAGTAAAAAATAAAATTGCTCCAATTTTATTTCTACTGGAGAAGAACTTGTGTCTTTCTCTTTGTGCACGGAATACAAACTAAAACTGAAGAAATTCTATTTTTTACTTAAATGGGTTTGAATTCGATTTGACGAAAGAGTGAATTTGTTTCGCAAAAAGGTTTCGAATACGAATCGAACAGCAACACAATATCTATTTGTGAGAAATATTATTGAAAACAATTCTCGAGAATTTTACTCTTCCAAATGTATTCATTACCTGTCGGTTTATCATCATCGCATCAAAGGAATGACACAATATCCAATTATAAGCAACCTTGGACGTAGGAAGTGTAGCATTGCTTTACCGTTCGCTTATTTCCGTCACAAAAGAAATAAAATGTCTCTTTCATATATCACCACGATACAAACACGCAGCGATGACGTACAATATATAATTATAAATCATTCTGCCCTAGTATCACCCAATTAGTTAATAACATCCTTCCATTTTTTTTTAAGATTCATTAAAAAAAAAAATATTCAAAATTCCAAAACTTCTTTCATTTCTTTTAAATCTAGAATCCAAATTTATTTAAACTCTATATTCCTCCCACATTTCGAGACACTAAATATTTAATTACCTACGTAGCAACAGTGAATACCACTCAACATAAGATATACCTATATATACGTATTCGCAACAAGTGCAGACGTGCCTTTGGCGACTCAAGAATAAGAAAAACCGTAGAGACAGCAAAATGGAAAATAAGGAGGAAGGGCACGGCGGTGTCGAGCCCGTTTCTACGCTTTCAGGGGGAGCCCTCGGCCACCCGCCGCGGCGAAAAAGAGGATTCATAGTGGCGGTATCGATCGTGATCGCGCATCGTCGCGCGATAAAACGTAGGTAGCTATCACTATCGATATCGCCTCGGTGAATTTATCGATTTCCCGAACAGCGGGAAGCCTGTGCCCGCGGCTTTTACACACGATGCACGGAGCGAGAGGAGGGAGGAGAGCGAGCGAGAGAGGTTAACGTCTTCATTTCCCCCCTCGATCGTCGTCGAGATTCTTCGAACGTGGCGCACGACACCGCAACTGCTCTACGTGGCTCGTGGATCGCGATCCCTTCTCGGATTAATTATCTCATTTTATCGTTTTCATTATTTGAAACGATATTGAAAGAATGGGAGGGGAGGAATTTGAATTTCGCGCGCTTAGGTAATCGAACTGTGCGAATCAAGGATCACAGATCTTATAGGTAAATGTATGGAGCTTAAGGATTTCCTATTTACAGTTATTTTCATGGAAAATATTCAATATTCGTCGCTACGAAGATTTGCTTGCGTTAAATCGGAGGATAGCGAGGGAAATTTGAATTTGGCGCGCTTAGGCAATCGAACTGTGCGAATCAAGGATCACAGATCTTATAGGTAAACGTATGGAGCTTAAGGATTTCCTATTTACAGTTATTTTCATGGAAAATATTCAATATTCGTCGCTACGAAGATTTGCTTCGATATTGCGTTAAATCGGAGGATAGCGAGGGAAATTTGAATTTGGCGCGCAACGAAACGAGCTATGTGATTCGTGATTGAAGACTTTCTTCAATTTTTCGAATATAGCTTGAGAGAAGAATTTGAATTCCTTGAAATTCGATGGATGAAGATGGAGGATAGATTTATTATTATTTCAAGGATGTTTAATCGGGGCTTTCGTTATCTATCGATGAAGTATCGATAGAAGTTTATTAATTGGTGGAATGGAATTGAAGGTTCGTGTCGTTAAAACGATTCATGAAAGAGGAGAGAAATGTGTTGTTGTGCGAATAGGCTTAAATAAATATAGTTCTAAAGGTTTCGTTGGGCTTCTTCGAGAATGGTGCAAAAGGTGAGTGACGGGTTAAGAGCCTTTTCTTGGCCTTTGGCCTGCGTTATGTGAGACTGTAAGAGCGAATGATAAATGTTTTTCTTTATAGTAGAACTACCAAACAAATTATATATCTATATTTCTACAAATTCATGATATATAATTATGGAACAATAAATATTACAACTGAATCATCACGGATGTTATTAGTTTTTAATTTTCAATGAATATTTAATTGATTGGAAATTCTATCTAAAATATCTTGCATGGATATGCTCATAATAAATTCATATATATATATATGATTTTAAACAATGAACTCTGTTATGTTTTAACCAATGTATTAAATCATGAATTTTAACTAAAATAGAACGTCAATGTACGATTTATTATATTCCTATATCAAATTTATTATTCCTTTGAGAAAATATTTAATCTTAAGATAACAATTTAGTTTTTCTTTTTATTGATTTTAGTTTATTTTGTTAATTAATGGACGAGGAAGTTTGTAATGATATAGTTATCACTAAGCGTATAAATATATGTATATA